GAAAATATACGATTAATTATTCACAGCATGGAACATATGGAAATACATCACACATGGGGAATCATCACGCTCATTGATTTTGAAAAAGCTTTTGATACCATTGAATGGGACTTCATACAAAAAAACTCTCGTGTACTTTAATTTTGGACCAGATATATGTTAATTGGTCCAGACATTCTATAAAAATGCAGTAAACACCGTAATAAATAATGATTACACATGCGACTACTTTCACGTCTCAAGAGGAGTACGCCAAGGGTGCCCACTGAGCCCATACCTATTCATTCTATGTCCTGAAATATTAGCAGAGGCAGTAAGACAAGATATATGAATAGAAAGAATCAAAGCTGATGACACAGAAATAAAAATATCCCAATACGCTGATGACACTACACTGTTACTTAGGTCAATAAACAAAAACAAAACAGATGTCGGTATTATTGGAGATATGAGCTTAGAACCAGAAGCACAACAACAGACACAACAAACATGTAGAAAACTAAATATTAAATTTACAGCAGATAAAGTAACCATGCTTGGGATCACAATACCTTTATCAAACAGACAACTCATTGCAGACCTGAGTTACCCAAAAGCTAAAAAGAGAATTAAAGACATAATTAAGTCATGGGAAGGAAGAGACATTACTCCACTTGGAAAAATCACCTTAGTTAAATCTTTACTTCTTTCCCAAATTACTTACATGGCAACAGTTATACCAATGCCAAAAGAAGACCTTATTCAAGACATAGAGTCAAGCTTCTATAAATTTATATGGAGCAACAAACAAGATAAGATAGCACGACGTTCAATGATGGGAAACAGAGAAGAAAGTGGACTGAAAATGGTCCATCTCAAATCCTACATAGAAAACCTAAAAATCAAATGGATCACAAAGCTCACACAAACAGAACCTAATAATAAATAGGCTAAATTATGGAAAATATATATTGGAAAATTTAATACATAACACATTTGGAATTTTAATATAAGAGAATAAGACCGAAAAGTTCAAAATAAGTTACGATTAAACTCTTTGAAAGAGTATATAACTTATAAACTATGTTAAAAATGAAAAAAAAACTCCTTACCAATGTGACATCTACCTTTATTTTCCTTTTTTCCGGCGCAAATTTTTCTACTTTAATATATTATTATGTATATTGTGTATGTAAATGAAATAAATGGGCTATAAAAGCCGAAAATAGCGAAATTTATCCGGATCGCCTCGCGGATCGTACGAATTCACGGCACCTAGATTTTTTTAAATTCTTGCTATGGGCCTGGATAAACTTCAATTGAGTACTTTAATTCCGGTCTTACTAGTTCATCAAAATCAAAATACATTTCAGTTTGTCTAATGGCTAGCCTATTTTACTGAGTCTCTATCCAAATTACTTCTGAATGCATTGGTCACATATGCTCCGATCCATCGGCCGGCGCCCGGCCGATTGAGTGTTTTGTTCAATATTGTATTCAATTTTGAACAAAATACTCAATCGGCCGGACGCCGTGCTGAAAATCGGCGCAAATGTGACCAAGGCCAGTGGCGGATCCAGGAACCAACAGGGGGGGGGCCAATTTGAGGTCAGAGAAAAAAAATTTGGGCCCCTAAAACCGAAAAGTGGACCCAAATTTTGAAAATTTGAGGCCCATTTTCTTCAAAATTTGGCCTAAAATTAAAAAAATAAGGCCTTAGAAGGCCCAATAATGACCAAAAGGCCCACTTTTTGGGGCCTAAAGGCCCTTTTTGGCCTAAAATCTTTTTGGGCCCAACTTTTTTTTTCTGGGCCAACCTTAGGGGGTGGGGCCCGGGCCCCATGGGCCCCCCCCCCTCCGGATCCGCCATAGAAGGCAGTTCTTGGGCTTAAAATGAGATAGCTATAATTGAGATGAAATTATCGTTCAAATGCGATTACATTTTTTGAATCACTCGATATATCAACCTTTCTAAATAAGTTACATAAACAGAAGTCAACGATGTCTTGACCCGTTTCAGTGCAGCGTTTGCAACTCATTGACATAATTATAAAGATATAGTCCTGCGTAGGGACACTAGCGGTTACTGTTAGTGATTTGGTTTTCTGTATAAAAAGTCATCCCTACCCCATCTGGCGTTTAGGAAGTGAATCGCGACTCGATATTTGTAACGTAGAGTCAAACCATAAAAATTCAATGTTTCTAGCGTTACATTACCGTTGTCTTTCTAGATACCGTTGTCAAATATTACCGTTGTCAGCTCAATTTTAGAGCACATTTGACCCACATTTACCGTTGTCATTTTTACAGTATCCGTTGTCCCATGCCATATCTTGATCGGTTAAATTGAAGGTTTTATTTAGATGGTAGAAGATTCGTGTGCCAAATGAATTTAATATACGTGCTCTATTGAACTTATAATTCGTGAAAATCAAATCGAATACGAACCGGTGTCAGCCATTTGTGACAACGGCATCTGACTTTACCGTAGTCAGTGCACCCCTTCTATATGATAATATAAACCCTTCCTACACCTTGGTTCAGCTTTGGATCACTATCACTGTATGTACAGAGATCGCCTAGTATTAAAAGTGGGTGATCAAAGACTCGACAAGATGCGCAAAATTCAAATATCGTTAAACGGTTATTTTTAAAAGATTTATTTGTGTTCATATTACACGCTACTGGTGATTCAATAAGGTTTTGTAGGCACAAGAACACCCATATGCTTTGAAAAATTTATATTACTTTGACCATTTTTCGTATATGTGATCGATTTTACGATGTAAAGATATAAATGCGATATAATATGTGCTGTTTTATTTAAAAAGCTTTAAAATATCAAAAACAAGAGAAGATTTTTACTCGCTTTAATTTTTTATACTTAGGTAGGGATTTGGGCTTCCATTTGACCATGATAAAGTTCACGTTTCCTCTTAAATAACATGGAATAAATATTTTAACACAGAAATGAATGGATCAGCCTATAGCGTGAGTTTCAGCAGATCATACACCCACAACTATATGCTTTAAAGAGAAGAAAAATGGGGTTTCATGCAAAATGTATGTCCAAATTAAATAAACATGTACATCACCGTTCATTGATTCATTCGATTAAATGGTCACTGTATGCGTATATTTTGTTATTCTGTCTTTGTTTGAATACAATACGATATGTACACTGTACACTGCTAATAGAAAAACATCTTGAAGCGTAACACCTTATAAATGGAACAGTTTTTTAAAGTCACATTTCAGTCCATTTATTTTACCCTTTGATTCCAAGGTATGAAAACTGTACACCTTGGCATCCAAGATGATTGTCGAATTGTAATGCAAGAATTGAATAAATCATAAATGAAAATGTATGTCAATGTATCACCCATTTTCATGATTGTGGTTGTTATGAACATGGGGTCTCATAATAAACTTATTAAATCTGAATTGTACACTATCTATTTCATTGGGGAGTTAAATCATTCTTTTGCAGCAAGGTATCAATAAGTTATATAAAAATGTAATGACCTTCAGTAGATGCCAGTAGTCAGTTCCCAGTTTCACCACGAGGTGGCTAACTTGGGTCATATGTAAATGATAGGTATAGGGGAAAGCTGCTCTATAGTTCAATATTCAGAAGATTTATTGATCAATTTTCATGTAAGGTGTATAGGTGATTAGCTTGAAAATGTTAGAATTGTATGTAATCGAATGCAAAATAAACGCCCAGTAGGCGTTTTTAGAGAAACAAAGTGTGAAATAAATACTATGCTATTCTAGACAACGTTATGTGGATGGGACTGAGGAAAAGTTCAATCAGATATTTTGGATGATTTCATTCGATTATTGTCAATCACTGAAATTGTCATAAATTCATCACTTTCTACAATTATGTGTTTATTTATTGATTTCACTTAATTTGGTATTATTCCAGAGAAATTTCTTGTAATCATTCTAAATTTGCCTCTATTTTCAATAATCGTTCTCATCTTCATCTCTTCATCTTCATGGTGTTCTATAAGGCGATTTATAATGTTTTGAAATTTAACAGTTCGTAGTGAAGGACAATAGAAACATGCAAATTCAACCACTCTGAAATGCAAAGAACATATCATTAGAATCCACATGGTAAAATCACTCACTTGGCTGATCATAATTTTTTTCATAACATCCTCCTCACTCGATACTGAAGGGGAGTTGGAACGTCTGATATGCATGTAATGTTAAGTTTTATGTATATTAACCATAGATGATACTGGTTTTGAGGTTTTGGCAATCTAAAAACAGAAAATTTGGTGAAAAATACATTTTCGTTCGACGGGTTTTTGATTTTTCTTCTTTTATCAACTCAGTTCAGGTATTTCGGTTGATTTAATCACCGAATCCTGTTACCAAATGAATCTTGAGTCTCTTATACAGCATATGGAATACCATCTGTAGGTAAAATGACTTTAAACTGGTAAAGAGAAGACAAACAAACATACCTTTCCTCCGACATTTTGGATTTTGCGCATCTTGTCGAGTCTTTGATCACCCACTTTTAATATTAGGCGATCTCTGTACATACAGTGACTATGCTATCGCTATGTGGCAGAAATGCATTCTGATTGGATATAAATGATCACATGACCTTCGTTCATCTTAGTTCACCAAGGTATCAGGAGATAGCATGCCAAAATGTAAAATCTCTATTAGCTTGGCGATCATCAGGCCGTATCAGTTCAGGAACATTTTGCAAATTATGCTTATTTCTCATGGCATACCACATGTTTATGTGAGACCCTGGTGACATATTGTATTCAAGTAAAATTGTATAATTCATGATAGATGGCTAGATAACAACCTCAAGTTTCATTTGGTAGGGAAATTATGATTTAATATCAAAAATTAAAAAAGTTATAGCATTTTGAAAAAAAGTGGCGTTTTTGGCCCACCCTGTATAATAAATATAATATAATACAATAAAATAGAATATAATATAATATAAAGAAATCAATGCAATATTATATAACATACATTCTTACCTTGACATTGACCATTCCTGCAATACATTTTCCCTGAACATTCTGGGCTTCTTGCACAGCGATACCCTAGCTCATGTTTCATCTCACATTTGCCTTTCTGTGTTCCCGCAAAGCCTCCAACAGTACAATACTTGCTTTTGCCATTCTCGTATCGTAAGCAATCACTGTCAATTCTGCATGTCTCCTCACATATTCCTATGAATATTCATCATAAATTTTAAAGTTGACAATTGATAGTTTACTCTGATATTATTTTCAAACATTAGCTCTTTGCATTGCATTAGTGGTTTAAAAGCATTTCTTCATATTTTGATTCTGATGGTTTTTGACTTCGATTTCTAAAATGATTAAGTAATCTTGCATTTACACAATAAAAAGAAAAGAGCGTGCACAAGATGATCCTCAATTTACCATTTCCATATGGCACACAATTGGAAAGACCTTTACATTCATCATTCTTCGTGCAATTTTCCCCAATATCTTTCATAGGTTCACATATTCCCAGATTACACCAACATTCGTATTTGCATTCAGTGGAGAATTTGCAAGGTCCTCCACATCTAGATGGTTTCACTTTACTTTGGCATTTATTCGCACATTTCTGCTCACATGTCGCCTCACATTTCTTTTCACATGTTTGTCCGAATACCCCTTTTTACAAAATACATATTTTAAACCTTTTTTCAATGCATTATATTTAACCAGTCAAAAACAAAACCAACGTTTAACCCCTTTATAATACACGTGAAAAGATAAAGGAAAGATATCACCCCCTTTCGTCATTTCAATTGAAAAGAGATTACTAAATCCAAAACTATTTCAAAAAGCTTTAAAAACAATGAAAAGCTTTTTGACATTTTCTTGAATATTGAAAATATGCGATGCTATGCGATCACTTCACTTGAAAGTTGATACAATAATAGAAACATCAAATGCGATGTAAATGAGATTCAGACAATCATTTTTCTTCAACTTAATGAAAATTATCATTTATGTTGAGTAATCAAATTATTGTTTAGACTCACCTATTATTCCTAAAGCGGCAAATACGACGATACTTCTCATGTTGATGTCAATGTTTTATCACTTGAATGATGGAAAAGGTTAACTAGTTATACATTCATACCGTAAATTTTATAGTATCGGACATGATATGTGTTTAGATTTATCATGATTTCATGATGCTGCTAAATGTTAAGCATATTATTCTAACGATTCAATGCACGATAATTTTATTGACTATTGTTTTAGTATGCATTTTCCACTTGCTTATTTATGTCAGGGGAAGTATCTAGGATCAGATCGTGTTGAATTGTCATGTTGTCAATTTTTCCGCATATCATCGGAACAAATTTTACCTCCCATTTGAAATAAAAGCCTTAGGCGAATTGCAAAGATCAGTCCATGGGACGGACTGTTAAATGAACATTTACATGCTGTTAAACATATTTTCTTAATAAGTATACCTTCAATATACTAAAAATAGATTTGAAGGTTGATATCTCTTGTTTTGTTATATCATTAATTAAAAGCAAAATCTTGAATTTTTGTTTTTATCGCACCCTAAGGTGCTATATTGTAACATGTGTAATCAGTTTGCCGGGCGGGTGGTTGGGCGGGCGTCCCGAATAATCCTACTTGTCTATAGGTTTCCAGCCAAACCGTTGGAGGGATTCCTTTGAAATTCTCAGGGATGTTTCTACCTATGAAAGTTTAGAACTGATTAGTTTTTTGCATTCTGGGTAAATGTTAAGACGGCCATTTTGGATTTTTCGTCCTAAAATCTTGTCTGTCAAGGCTTGTCTACAGGTTTCCAGCCAAACCGTTTGAGGGATTCATTTAAAATTCTCAGGGATGTTTCTACCTATAAAAGTTTAGAACTGATTAGTGTTTCGGCATTCTTGGTAAATGTTAAGGCGGCCATTTTGGATTTTTCGTCCTAAAATCGTGTCTGTGAAGGTTCAAAACGAAATTGTTAGGGGCTTTTCAAAAGTTGCAATTCTTTATCAGAAATGCTGTGGAAGAAATACTGTGGATATTTTGCCTACAACTCGAAGAAAAAATCGTAACGTCAAGTTTCCGACATTTTGTTACCGAAACGGATCCTAGTTTGAAAACAAGCCAGTGCTAAAGGGCAATCTCAAAAGTTGAGTCATTTCACTTTTTATTCTTTAATAGTTTACAAATATATATAGTTACAAAGTTATATATTTTACACGTATGCTTTAGAGTCCTTAAGATCGGCGTGAATGCTGCTGGCGTCCTCACTGTATTTATTACATGCCCCAAATAAGGTGTGTTCGACGCATTTAGGCGTTTTTCGTAGAACAAAGCAGATTGCCTCGAGTGTGTTAAAATACATATTCCCAATTTCATCCGCCACTTCGTCTTTCAACGATTGGAGACACTGACGAAACCTGCAACAGGCAAAATACAGATACAAGGCATTAACGGGCAAAATGTCTTCAATTGCCATATGTTACAGACCGCGTCGACCGCTGAACGCCTAACGCCGAACAACGTCCACACAAAAAACTATAACACTATATCATCACTTGTGGTGGTGACAAAAATGTTGTCACTAATCTGAAAACATACAGTAACCATCCTTCCCCCCTTCTCTTCTCTATAAAAATATTGTAAAAATCCACAGGAATAAAAGCTAAAATGTCATATCTGTAAACAATAATCACCAGACTGCAAACCAACATAAAACAATGTGAAGGATTGAAATATATAATGCCAATTGATAATCAATACAAAAGTGTTTGAATGTCAGCAACAAATGAAATTTGTTATAAACTAATTTACTTCATTTATTAATGTGTTTCTTAAAGAGGGGTCTCGCATTTGCTATTGAATCTCAATAATCATTTTAGAATTATTAAAACATCGTATTGTAGCTAAATATCTAACTACAGGTGCCAAAGGGAGCGAACCAAATACTGTAAAAAAGGAGCAAGAAAAACACACTCAAAGGGTGTTCTACTTATATATTTCTAAGATTCACCACGTTTCAAGAGGAATATTAGCTGAAATAATGTTCATCCGGGGGGGTTTCTTTGTAGATAATAAAAATATAATTATGTTAGTCTTGATGAAATATCCAAACTTAAATATATTTCGACACTGGTCGATGGTCGTTGAATGCCCCCGCCCCTGCACCTTTAAATCGATTCGGAGTTTCGGATGTTCCCGAGCTTATGTTTTACTTACTTATCATCGCATGCACAGTCACTTATTCTGTATAACCGGTAGTTAAACACGTTGTATTTCGTCTCCCACGTGTCAATTGATCTCGGACAGAGATCGTGCGCCCTACAGCACATATCAATTGATCTTAAAGGACCCAGGTCACTTAGCCCCCGGGCAATGTGTCCCGGTCCACACCATTTCGTCCCTGGATACATGAACGAAAAACGTTTCATGCGTCGATTCGTTGAAGATGTATTATCCCGGTAAATTGTTCGCCTAGAATACTTCAATACGTATTCAGCATATTTTCTGCAATCTTGTTTTGCCCGAATGAATCCGTAATGTTTGGCTAAGTTTTTAAACAGATCATATGTCAATAAACGTTTCATTTTATTATCAAAGTGTAACGCCATTTTTGCTTTAAGGTAATCTGACAAAAGCTGTTTTCCATGTCTTCTATATGACCCTTTTCTGTATTGTAATTGATTGAGTATGACATCTAGCTTCGATAATAATTCGCACTTTGTATCCATATCTTCCGCATTGATCGTATATCTAGATTGCATGTCACGTGATCGGGACTCTCCACCAACCACGTTCCGTTGTTTTTCTGCACGTGACCCCAGCGCTCCACCAATCAAGTATGAAGAATGTTTTCCATTCGAAGACTCATGTAGCCATCCTTGATATCTCATTGTTTGGGAGATTTCTTTCGATACGATCAGTAGCCCAATGACTAGGAATAGTCGTCTCGACATAGCAACGTCATTACACAGTTCACCGCTGTTATCAAAATTGCAAATATACACTAAAATATCTGGGCCACCTAAATAAAATGTGCCTACCTAACTCATATATATTTCACAATTTATATTTTTGTGACCTCTCCATGTTTACAAATTGTATTATCAATTGTCTATATTGTCATGGTAACTTTTTATGTCTGAACTGACACAAAATTACATTGTTACGTATACAGACATAAGGCTTAATCTACCGTACTTAGAATTCCTTAGAATATTGTCCTGTTTCTATGATAACAACATTATTTGTATATTGGTACAACAATTGATTTCTCGTAATAATTCTCTGGCAAAATGCATAGTAGCAACAACCTCGGTAAACAAAATAATTTAGTACTCTATTCTAAACACTGTTCCACAACTAGTTACTTTGACGGAACATCAATGGAACAAAATGGATGAACTTCCTGGTTACGAGTTTTTTGTTTTCTCGCACTTATAAGTTAAGTTGCAGATTATAATTTTACACAAAGCTAGAAAATACTGTTCTCCTTCGAATATTGCTCGTTGTGATTCCTCAGAGATGCCATTTGTTTCATCTGGGGTTAACTTGGATTTAAGGTTATCATTTTCAGCTTTGAGCTGGTCAAGCTGACTCTTGATCGGCCCTAGTTTTGCATCGATGGCGTCATTAATAGTGTGTATTATGTGTTTGAAAAATGACACATTCGAAACTAGAGTAAAATTCTGACGTACAAAAATATCCAAAGGACATCTATTGATTTATTAATATTATTAGCGTTCATAGTATGAGTGACGCAAATACACAATTCATCATTTTGTCTCATATTTGTTCAAAAATGGCAGCATGTTCTGGAAGGTTTTCAATCTGTCCCTTCAAAATCAACCAAACTAAAGCTCATAAAAACATTCAACACGACCCCATTTATGAAGGCTATAGACGAGGAACTTTACTCCGGGGCCAAACCTTTTTAAGAAATATATTTCCGAAAAGAATAGTTTATTATTCCGACAATCAAACTCGTTCTGAAAACGTCCCTACTAGGATTGAAGTCCGGCAGTTCTGTTCATAGAACGTCCAGCTCGTATAAGTACAATGTACGTTGTCAATCGTTCTAATTGCAGAACGTGACGACCATCAGGATATTTTGAGCGTGCTTTAAGTTCTGGAGGACCTTATACCCGTTCGAGTGCGTCCATATAGTTTGTAAATGGACCTCAAACGGTTACGTCCAATCCGTTTGTACACAGTTTCGACCCGTTTTCGAGAATGCAGTGACAACTAAACTTAAGGTGTGATAGTAGGATAAATGTAGAAGACAATGTCAATTATTTGTGCAATAATATCCAAACATATCTATTTATTTTACAGTTGTTGAGCTTAATAAAATGTCAATATATACATTTTGTAAATCGGTTGCTATATAAAAAATTAACGTTATTCTAAATCAAAGATAAAAATAAGTAATATTTGACACACTTTACAATCACATATCTTAGTTTTATAGTTTATTAATTTATCAAGATTCAACACATTGTCCATTGTCGTTCATTAGGCTGTTAGGTGGTCGCCATTAAACATCCGGGTCTTTACGCTATCACTGCCCAATCAGTGTTAGGCTTTCATCTTCCAAACTCTGACGTAATCAACCTGCATAGCAGCATCTTCGCCCTGCCACGTTGGGTACCAGTCATCCTTTGCGAGCCAGAAGTCCCTGGGTCCAGTTGGGGATGTGTTGAGCCAAGGTTTGGGGTAGGGGGAGTTTATCAAATCGTCACTAAAGAATCCGTTTGTACCTCCGACTGCCACGTTCATAATCAGGTAGAACTGGAAATAAAAGATTGGACATAATTTACGAAAAGTCACACGAGGATGACTCTTGGCCGGCTTTCTTACCTTCCTTTCTCACCCTAGTTTGGCAAATGTTTACATGTAATTTAGTTTAGATTTTCCTCAGTTGGATAAGTAAAAAAAAATCGCCAAACATAACCAAACTTTAACACGCAGATTAAATACGCAGATAGGTGATGTACTTTTGTAAAATAACCTTCTATTTTTAAATTAATATATATTATATATACAGGACCTGTAGACGATACTCACTGGTTTATCAAAGGGGGCCATTTTGTTTTGACTGTATTGCCAGGGATTAGTCTCTGGACCAAATCGTTGGTCCCATCCGCCAAAATTAAAGAAACCATTTGGTCCGGGATCAGCTGTCATGATGCTCTCGCCATCTATCCAGAACCTTTGAATATTTAAACATGAAAGGTGATAAGCTTGGGCTGACCAATGTTATAATAACGTATTATGCCAGGATAATCACCTGTGTCATTTTGTGTACTCTAATACGAGGGGTGATCTATAAAAAGCATCTATGTAAAAAAGCGTCCATTACTTATTGATCACCCTCGTGTGTTGACTTGGTCTCAGCGTAATACAAACTGTTCGACTCTCTCCATCATCATCGTACACATGCAATTAGCCCACGTTTATTTATTCAAAAAATGTAATCAGTATTCACCCAGCATCATCGCCAAGCTCTATATTACCAGTTTGAGTTCCTCGCTTTTGTAACAGCGACGCCGCTCTCTGTTCTTCATCAGATCTTCAGAGCGGTGTCTGTGTTACAAAAGCGAGACCCAATGTTGTTTAGATTTTCACTACCACATATTCGTTAGGAGGTATTTTAAATCGGAGCGCATAAGATTCGAAATGGGTTGCTTAGATTATAGAAAGAAGGAACACTAGGTATACGTGTGTTAAAAAAATCTTATTTCGTCAGGGTAAAATCCTCAAGCATCCTGACATCGTCCGTTATAACATCTTGCCTGACCCACCTGTTTGATATTTAGAAGAGAAGAATTACTTACTGAATGGAATTTTCGTCCCATTCCATTGTATACGTGTGGAAGGAATCACCAAACGTTCCAGATGTTAATGTCCTAAAAAAGATTAAAATGGTATAAAAACGTATGAACTATAAAATAGAATGTAACATAAGACAACCAATGGAATTGTGGTTGGCATAGCCATTTACTACAAGGTTTAAGGTTTGTTCAATTTAAACCGACAAGGTAGAATCTCGTTCATGGTGTACGAAGACTTCACAATTTACGATGTTCTTCTGGAAGAGGTTTCCTTGTACAACGAGTACGTCCTTAAAATACATTGAGCTAGCTAGTGGAGTATATTCAAATACACTTCCATCAATTTTGCAATTGCAATTCCAACTCTCTCTGGACCACATGCTAAAGCTTCCAAAACTCATACATTTCCTTAAAAGCTTATTGTCACAAGTGAGATCAAATAAAATTCAAATATAACGAGGCTCTGACATGATCGGTCAAATGTGTTAGATTATCGTCCATAAATACCAGACAAAGATGGAATAGAACCTTCAGTTTGAATACAATGTATTGTTCACTCCAGAATGAGACAATATACACTAAACGAAATATAGAGTGATTTCGAGATCCCCGGGTGATATCATAACACAAAGGGGGTCAGGTTTTCCGATTTCTCGGAGGATGTGTACTTACTTGTCGCCGTGTGTTAAGTCGTATCTGTTCTCACAGCAGAAAGGCCCCCAGTGCATGGTAGAAGCGGCGTTGTCAATGCCTTTTGAGTTGCCGCCAGAATCCACCAAGAATCTGTTTCCTATCGAAGTTTAACAGAATCGGTTGTTATACGGTTTTGTATTGGTTCTATTTTACACTATGATAGGTTTGTATTAGATTATTATGATGTTTCCATGAGCGGGAAAGTGATCGAAATAAGTGACATCCCCCTCCTTCTCCGGTGTCATATAGTTATATATGCTTACCTTAGTTTGGCCAAATGAACTATGAGTCAATTGCAAAGAACAATTAAAAACTTGAAATTAAAACTATATGAAAATTCGGAAAATCATCGGGTCGCGGTTATGATCAACCCCTGAATCTGCCTATCTTTTTATCGTATGTGGATAATACTGAGCTTTTGTTTGAAAAAGACAGAACAAGATCTCGAAAGATCTCTCATCGAAAAACGAGAATAATTTACCTCTTGCTTCGACGAGATCAATCTCACCGGAAGATGGCCAACCGCCGTACTCTGCATTATTGGGTAATAACCATATTGCTGAAATAAAATGTTAGTTTAAAAAAGGTATAAAAATTCAAATTCTCGCAAATTCAAGACGACCTCATTTATGAATAATTAACATGAGGGGTTGAATGGTTGTGCAGCCCTACACTATCGGAGAAAAAACAATGTCGCACATGAATACATGAATACAACACTTACTACATACATATTTTTATTCAGCAGTAATATTTTAATACAATACAATACAACAGCTTGATATCCTTTTGGATATATAAAGCATTTTGATTACAATAGTTTATGAAATATTATATATGAAATTAAAGCTTTACATTTCCGGTAAGGTCGCGGATCCAGCCCTCCCCCCTTTTCTTGGCCCAGAAATAGAATTTTAGGGCCCCAAATTCTTTTGCGCCGAACAATGTTGTAGTGCCTCAAAATATGGACCTTTGGCCTTTTTGGCCAAATTATCAAAAAATGGGCCTTAAATTTTCAAAATTTTGGTTTAAGGGGCCCGAAACCTTTTCCGAGCGATCGCGGGAAATATTTTTAATTTATTTACTCAAAATTTGCCCCTCACCCTTTTTAGCTTCTGGATCCGCCAGTGTGTCGTATATACGATTTAAAGATTTTTAAAATTAAAGGCTTGTAGGATCTTTAATAAAAAAAATTACGTCCAGTACACCAGGGTATCGAGTCCTATAGTTAGACAGTTTAGTATTGAACAAACCTGGCCAAATCCAATCTCCCTGTGGCATCTTGGCTCGCACTTCGAGTCGGCCATATTGGAACGAGAACTTATTAACGGTCCTGAGACGGGCGGATTGTATCGGGTTGATGTAGTTAGTAGACGATCCGGTCCTTTCACATCCCCACCATTGGTTTCCGGTGCACAGGTCTGCGGGGCTCGCTCCTAAAAGTATGAATTCAAAATTGAATGAGCAAATAATAACAGTAGGTTAGAAGTATGAAATAACAATTGCTGACCTCTCTGAAGGTCGACTGTTAAAACCTTTTTCTCTGGACACTGTTAACCGGGAATGTATGATATTTGACCGGGTTTTCAATTTATATCGGAATAAGTTCATAAACAGTAATTAATTGATAATTACGTGTAGTTAAGATATAACGATATGTTTCAAGCCGATTTAAAGATGGCAGAAGTGTAGTCCAAGTGGTCTACACTGTAACAGAACCGTCTTTCTATGGACATTGAATCACCATGGAAACTGTTAACAGACAACAATGTTACATGAAACTCACCCCAAAGATTAAGGGTCGCTGATCCGAGGGTGTTGGGTCCGAATTTATCTTCGGTGAGAGTCTAGAATAACAACAACAAGTGGGCTTATGTACATTTAACGAATGCTGATTAAACTCATGAACGCTAAGCAAGACAGTGCAGATATATTCAACAATGTAGATGTAATTGTTACAAATATGCCAAAGTTTACACAAACTTACACAACGAACTTGTTAAAAATGTGTGCACATTTACTAATATCACATTATCAACATAAAATAGTGTATTAAGATCCTGAAATTGCAAAATCTGGGACGGAAAACGGAAAAAATACTATGGTACATTCCCCTCAATAAGTTTGGTACCTGAAAGTTTTTACTAAATTGCAGTAGTTCGAAAATGTATGACAAATTTGATGATTATAGTTTCAAATTGCGAAACATAAACACTAACCCAGAGGGGAATTTCCGTTTGCCAAACGCATTGAGGGGAGTGTAAATAAGTTAACAAATAAAAAGTTGGAATTGATAAACAGGTAAATGTTTTTTTTAATTGAATATGTATTGTATTTAAAAAGACGACTTACAGGTTTTATGTAAAGATTTCCATCCTTCGTGTAACTGTTGGAGCGATTGTTCGTATAATACTGGAACTCCCAATTCTAAAAAATAGAAATACATTTTGTATAGGTGTAACTTTTAGACGTATCATACGATATAAATAAAGCCGGATGAATTGAGATTGATAGGTTATACGTTACGTTTTGTTGACAAAATACTTTACTTGTATACAGTATACTCAGGCTCGATACTAGATACTATATAGTACTGAGATTAATAATGTTGTATTTGTTGAAATTCCCTCAAAATAAGCATATTCTTTGAAAATCATTAAATTAATGAACAAACTTATGTAATTGTACAAGCTCATGACGATGTTTAACTTTTGACTTGATTAGGGACGAGAGAACACCGCTTTATATCACGAAGATGGCCGAAGATGCGCCAATTAACCAATCAAATTTCTGGAAATGTTCGTGTTAGATCTTTGGCCGTCTTCCGTATTGATGCATTTTGATTATAACATTACGCACCCCACCACCGCCTGCAGTGATTTCGTGTTGCCAGTTCTCATAGTTGAGACTATCGAAGTTATCCTCGAATATGAGACATGGGTACGTAGTGCAACTCCCGGGGCTTGACGTTGGAGCTACGGTTGGTGTACTACCTATAACACAAATGTAGTCTGGTATTGTCTTTACAACAAGAAACGAGTGTTGAACTGTGAAATACTAAACAAATCAGACCTCATTCTAAGCGTCTTTTTTTACCCGGCCTCCTCGTCTCTAATAAACTGTAAACAAGCAATCCCTCGTTATTATATTTTATCCTTGAGAAGATGTCTGCCACATCCAAACATGTTATGCGGAATTCGTTTCACGTCGTGATATGTTTGTGCAATACTGAATAGCGAACACAGTCTTTTTACTTACCATCATTATACGTCCATGACTGGTCAAGCAACTGGTAACCTCCCCCGCTTTTAGTGACGTATACCCAATAATTTACTACGTCACCATTTATCAAAACAACGCCTGTGTTTTCGTGCAACCACGCATTACCTAGAATTCAAACATGCCAACTGTGTCTCAGCCAATCAGCTTAAACCATTTCAGTGTGTTTATTTATTGATATATGCATGAAAATGATTTTGCTGTGTATTTAATTTTTGATAAATGCCCTGACTGAGCAGTAATTTTCTTTAAAAAGGGGTGACAGCATATCATCCGTGTGTTCATTTCAGTCAATGTAATGATTTTCTAACTTAGTTTACATAATTTTCTGCATCAAATTAATCATTTCATTTCCAATTCCTATAATATTTTGACAAACAAAACCTTGTCAATAGTTTTCAAACGAATATCAATTGCTACCCAACACCCCTATTTAATATTTCTAAATAATAAACTTGTCCAAAAACATATAAGAATAAGAATTAATCTTGAAGAATGTAAATGGTGAATCAGAGTTATGTTTGAATTGCAATAAAGAATCATGTATCATTCTATATTGGAATATAAAAGCATGAGTGTATGTACTAACCCATTCTGATTATGCACTCAGGCTTCGCCTTCGTGCATTACGTGTATGGGTTAGTACATACACTCATGATTTTATATTTACAATATAGAATGATACGTGATACGGAAGATAAAATTGCAGCTTCAAAATCTTTTTTTCTTACTGTATTCATGGAAATAGTCAAGATGATAGCAATCGGTGAAATGAAAAAAAATATCCAATCTAAATGAAACTAATTTAGTGAACTTGTTAACTGAACTTTATTTAACTACATCGAATATAAATAGGCTAACCTGTAGCTGCATTTATATCAAAGTTGTACTGTCCTGGGGCCGTTCCTAATAAGGGTTCGTTTATGCTATAATGGTATGCAACCAACGATATACCACTCTCATCTAAAATGTACATGCATTCATTAGTAAAGGGGTAACGATTATTTGACCCCATAATGGTATGCAACCAACGATATACCACTCTCATCTGAAATGTACATGCATTCATTAGTAAAGGGGTAACGATTATTTGACCCCATAATGGTATGCAGCCAACGATATACCACTCTCATCTGAAATGTATATGCATCCATTAGTAAAGGGGTAACGATTATTTGACCCCATAATGGTATGCAACCAACGATATACCACTCTCATCTGAAATGTACATGCATTCATTAGTAAAGGGGTAACGATTATTTGACCCCATAATGGTATGCAACCAACGATATAACACTCTCATCTGAAATGTACATGCATCCATTAGTAAAGGGGTAACGATTATTTGACCCCATAATGGTATGCAACCAACGATATACCACTCTCATCTAAAATGTACATGCATCCATTAGTAAAGGGGTAACGATTATTTGACCCCATAATGGTATGCAACCAACGATATACCACTCTCATCTAAAATGTACATGCATTCATTAGTAAAGGGGTAACGATTATTTGACCCCATAATGGTATGCAACCAACGATATACCACTCTCATCTGAAATGTACATGCATCCATTAGTAAAGGGGTAACGATTATTTGACCCCATAATGGTATGCAACCAACGATATACCACTCTCATCTGAAATGTACATGCATCCATTAGTAAAGGGGTAACGATTATTTGACCCCATAATGGTATGCAACCAACGATATACCACTCTCATCTGAAATGTACATGCATTCATTAGTAAAGGGGTAACGATTATTTGACCCCATAATGGTATGCAACCAACGATATACCACTCTCATCTGAAATGTACATGCATTCATTAGTAAAGGGGTAACGATTATTTGACCCCATAATGGTATGCAACCAACGATATACCACTCTCATCTGAAATGTACATGCATTCATTAGTAAAGGGGTAACGATTATTTGACCCCATAATGGTATGCAACCAACGATATACCACTCTCATCTGAAATGTACATGCATTCATTAGTAAAGGGGTAACGATTATTTGACCCCATAATGGTATGCAACCAACGATATACCACTCTCATCTGAAATGTACATGCATTCATTAGTAAAGGGGTAACGATTATTTGACCCCATAATGGTATGCAACCAACGATATACCACTCTCATCTGAAATGTACATGCATTCATTAGTAAAGGGGTAACGATTATTTGACCCCATAATGGTATGCAACCAACGATATACCACTCTCATCTGAAATGTATATGCATTCATTAGTAAAGGGGTAACGATTATTTGACCCCATAATGGTATGCAACCAACGATATACCACTCTCATCTGAAATGTACATGCATTCATTAGTAAAGGGGTAACGATTATTTGACCCCATAATGGTATGCAACCAACGATATACCACTCTCATCTGAAATGTACATGCATTCATTAGTAAAGGGGTAACGATTATTTCACCCGCCCCGAAGAATGCCAAAAGATCATACCCTAACCCTTCAAAGAATTTGATTGGTTCTTGAGGCGTCTGATCTTCTGCCATCTTTGCGATATAAACAACCTCAACCGAAGATGGCCGAACATGCTTGTAATGCAACCGATGATTGCCGAAGAAGTAACCCTAACCCTTCTAGGAATTTGATTGTTCATTGAAGCATATTCGGTAATCTCCGTGATATAAACATAATATATATAACCATTCCTTCAAGGAATTTGATTTGTTCTTCGAGGCGTCCTCGGCAATCTTCGTGATTAACACCTAAGGACGCGCTACATCGGTGCTTTACCACGTGATTAAGAAACAACCCATCTGCTTGAACAATTACCGAACATTTCTATTTTTAAGAATATACCACTCGTATAAAATACTCTTCAGTGAGATAAATCATAGTTTTGGGGTATTGGGGAACTGTTTTAGTAATGACGGATCAAATATTTTTTACTGGCGCGCTTTGTTAAAAGCTTAATTAATTACTATTAGCTCCTCCCCATTCGAAACCCCAACTGACATATACGTTCATATTTGGACAGCGACATTGAGAAAATTACTGTAAATGACACAAGAGTTTAATACACAAATATGCGAGAAACACTTTTTATTCAAACAAAATATTTTTTATTTTATTGAGAGTGCTTACCGGGAATTGAGAAGCTTATTCCGGGAGACAGGGCGGTGATTGTTGGGACGGGAACCACATACTGCCCCTGAGAAAGCAGAGCCACTGAGGCCAACACTGTCAAGATGCCAAGCATGGTTTAACGACCCTGTGAAATAAAATGTTTATGTATAATATTATACATAATGTAACATAATTTCTTCATCACTTTATTTCTATGTTTTCCAAATACAATAAATTTTGATCTTGAATAATTTAATCTTATACTTTTATAATTCTTTTATTAACATATTCTTTCATTTCACTGAAGAAATAAATACAATTCATTCAAAAAATCAAAGTAAACGTCACTTATTTAAGTTTATTGCTCATAGATGTATACTGAAATCATTATAAAAATTAATGTTAATTTTCTTCCTTACCTTCTGTTGATTGATATCAAAACTAAGAATCGAGTGATTCGAGATTGAGATTTCTTTTCTTTTAAGCGATTTTCATCAAACATTATTATCTTTTCATAAATCTTTCACTCAGATTAAGCTAAACCACTCGAGACATCTCGTGTCTTATCAGATCAATCGATTAATAACATCACGAGCCTCTCTCGTGGACGCCGAACGTATTTTTGTCATGTCATTGCCCCGAGGGCTGAGTCCAGTTCAAACTAGGATGTGATGAACTTCTCTTTTAAGATACAAAGTCAGGCGAATGCAAAGGGTATCATATCATTGTCATTCGATATTTTTGAATGTAGAACCCTTATAATTTTGGATTTTTGAATAGTACTGACCCAGGTTCAAATTAGAATTGGCCCAGTTTTGTCATCAGACTAAAAACTCTATTCATTCTGAAACATTACTCATCCATTAAATTGAAAAGGGTAATTTGAATAGGTAACGATTTTGGAACACAACCGAAAGTTGCCGAAGATGCTTCCGAAGATTTGATTGGTTCCTTTTGCATTTTAGGTTTTTTGTGAACATATTGGGATACAGTGATTAATAATATATAGGAAATACATATGAGAGATTCATAATCACTGAAAATGTTTATATTTGTATTGTTTGCAGGGATGATGGTCCTTTTGCCTTTGAGTTTTCTTAATTTCAACTCATTATCATTTTCAACACCGAAAACTACATCTTTTACTTGAAGGTAACTGTTTACTTTTGCTCGATTCCGGTGTATCTGTGCTCTCTCAGTTTGAAAAGGTGTGTATTGGTGTGTCGAGGTGGTCAATCACTTAGCACGAATAAGACTCAAGGACAACTCTTAAAGTCAGCTCCATCTCTAGAAGCATCAAACATATTTATTATTTGAATAAACATCTGAGCATTTTAATCGGTCTCTTTATTTATTGGACAATTTAGTTTTTGAATCGAAGTACATAATATATGATGTAATTATAGTACATGTGACATTTTGATTGTTTTGGCCTTGCGTAAACCTTCTTAAGAAATAAATTAATTAGAGATCGAAGATTGCAAGCACTCTTACAGAGGACCCCTGGATGGCGTGCATCATGTGCATTGAGAGCCTGCCCAAGGGGTCAAAAATAGTTTTAGAGAAAAAGGGCGTTCTACGCTTCTTTGTAGAGATTTTGGTAGAGATCTGAGTAGGTATCGCTCTGAACTGCTTTTTCGAGGACCTATACTACTTTAAGTATATTTCTGTTTAAACGCCATCCTTTTAATTTAAATTTTGGTTTGGTTCAGTATGTCAAACTGATGAGAGGGTTTATATTGCCAAACGTACATTTCATATTACCAAAGTAGATATTTTACATATTTGTATCATTACATGGATAGTGCTATACATTGTTATCAGAAAATATATAAATCGCCCCTTGTATAACCAAAGTAGATATTTTACATGATAGTACTATGTATCATTACATGGATAGTGCTATCCATGTAGCTACTTGCTGGAATCGTTGTCAGAAAATCAAAATTACAAAGAACAAATAAGTTGCTATAGATAGTTCATCATTGTACTCCAATTTTGGAGGTCATGCGACCCAATCCACGACCACTCTATGCTGCGAAACCCGCTACCCAAACCGCAAAACTCAACAGTTTTTGTAACAAACTGCAATCGAAGATGGCCGAAGCTCTAACCCTAGCTCTTCAAGAAATTTGATTGGTTCCTTGAAGCATCTTCGGTAATCTCCGTGACATAAACATCTTCGCTCGCAGTACATCGGCGTACATTTGTAGCACTCCCTTTCTCATCAGAGAAGCGGAGTTGATTTGATTAAGGGGGCTTGCCTGTTTTGATCCATTTCTTCACCTTCGCCACAACATGTTAATAAATTATGCCCTTGAGTGAGGTAGAATTTATATACAAAAATACTTTCAAGTAGTTTTTTATTGATGCAATAATACACAAGAGCAAATGTTTAGTACAATTTATCACAAATCTGGGTACAGTCACAGTCGCAAAGTACAATATGTAGATACGACTTTTCGATATGAGTTCTTTAAAAAATACATTTTCTCATTTTAGACGAGAAACATGTTTTACAATACACTGTTACCTCATTTCGCTAAAAATATTATTTGGGTATTGGGTAGGTTACTTCATCCATGACAAAAAATGTTCTAAGTTACACCACCTGAAAAAATTAAATTTTAATTTTGATTTTTCAAAATTAAACTTAATTTTTCAGGGGTAGTATAAGTGAGAACATTTTCTTTATGTCACTGCATCCCTTTGCCAGTAAAAAAGGAAAAAATGGAAAGTGTTATTCAAAAACTGTCACAGTAGCATTGTGGGTGACATATGTTAATATTCATGAATATACGACAGCGACGCTATATTTCTCTACCATAAGTATCGTTCAAATGTAGTGTATTCACACTACACTACCTCAAATAACTTGTGTGTGAAAAAATCAGAATGAATTTAACCCTAACCTTAACACTAAGACCATGAATATGTGTGTCAATTTTTTTTTAATCAAAAAATAAAGTCATGTTACATTTTAACACGTAGTTGAATGGGAGAGCCAAGGTTGCGAAACTTTTGGAGGTATGTGTACATGCAATGTATATGGACGATTTATACGTTGTCGTTTCCATATTGGAGACATTAAGCTGGCATATAAGATCGAAACGGCAACCTGTACGTATACAATCGCCCTATGCAAATGCATGTAGTTTTCTCACATAAATAATCGTTCTGTTGCAGTGTTTACTTAGTCCATTACATAAACCACCCTTCAGAGTGTAATACTAGTATATTGGTAGTTATAACGGTTTAACGATGGTTTTCTATGTATGACATACATTATATCTTCAAAAAGCATAACACTATGCATCGAAATTAAAAATGCCAGCATAGGATTCAATAGACATGAGTATAATGATTTCCGTTGACACCAACTTGAAATTGCAAATCTCCCGTTCTAAAAACAGCTCTGAAGCTGGGTACACCTGC